GCCACTCCTAAGATGGCCACTGGAGGGGCTTCCTGGCTCAGGCTGCACATTAAGCAGCCCTGCCGTTCAGCGTCCCCACGCTCTGCAGGAGACGCTGAATTTTCCTCATAGAGATGCATTGATTCAATGCATCTATATGAGGAGGTCCTGATTGGCCAAAACGGCATTTGGCCCCGCCCCGTGCCAATTGGATTGGAATAAAAAAAAACGGCTATTTTGATGATGTCACAAAGGGAGCGGAGCCAGCACCAGCAGACCCGCGCTGCGCTGGAAATAAGGTGAGTTTTAAACTTTTATGGGGGGCAAGCCACCTATATGGTGGGTTTAGTACTATTGGATCAGGAATACATGTTTGTGTTCCTGACCCTATAGTGATTCTTTAATTGTTTGGTAAGTATTTTATAGTAATACATTTTGGGGGGATACAGTGTGGGTAATGTTTTAGTTTCTTAATAGCACATGTTTATTATTATTTATTAAGTTATTAAGTTATTTATTAAGTGCCAAGTGCTGTGCAATCAATCGACTAACAGAAAAGTATTTGGAACAAGTTGAGGGCCCTGCTCAAATGAGTTTACATTCTAGAGGGAGTAAGGAAAAGTGACACTAAAGGTTCCGCTTAGCAGACAGGGGCACATGTATGAGTGTAGGTATGGATGGTATGTGTGGGAGTGTTTGTCTGTTATGAATGGGTGGCACCTCAGTGCCACTAGTCTGCTGGGCCTTTGTGATAATTTTGGCATGTAGATATGAAAGTGGAGGCTATCCTGGTGGCCCTTAGGGCTGAAGCAGCTGTAGGCAATGGCACATCTGCAAACAGTTTTCTTACTTGCTGTATAGCCGAGTGCCAGTGTGGTTCCCCCCACATATGGTCCAGCTCCCACTGCTCCTCCTCTTGCGTTCCCCCTCGCCAGATGGCCGTCCCAGCGCAGGATGTGTTGTTTGCACCCGGAATCTTCTCCTTGGGAGTTTGTGCTCGGGGGGGCAACAGGCCCAGTGTCTGAGCCAGGCAGCGTGTGGCCTGCACCGGCAGAACCACTATGGCCGGCAATCGTAACTGGGCTTCAGCATCGTGCACAGACCATGTTTCAACACATGGTGCGCTCCAACTACCATCCCCTCAGGCTCTTTCTGGCTTTTTTGGGGGCTCCTATGTGTCCTTTTCCCCTGCTCAGCCTGTTCATTTCTCCCCTTCTCTCCTCCTCCTGCTCTATATTCTGTTTCCTTGGTGTGGCCCCTTTCCCCCCTTATACCACTCAGTGTGTCCCCTGTCACCCCTTTGTTGCACCTTTTTCCTCCTGGTGTGTCCCTGTTGTCCCTCTTCCTCCCCCTTGACTTCCTAGTTTGTCTCTTTCCCTTTATGGAGTGCCCCCTGGTCTCCTTTCTTAGTCTCTTCTTTTCCTTCTACTTACCCTCCTCAGCTGCCTCTTGGTCTGGGGTGCCGGTTCTCTTGCTCTCTTCCCTCTCCATTGCTTTTCTCACAGGACTCTGATGCTGTTGCTGGATCTGTCCAGCAGGTGATACCCAAACCACCTGTGAATTTGAAAACAGTGGTGAATACTCAGGATCAAGCTCTACCAGGAAATGTTTTACAACTATCGTGCTGCTATTGTGCCACCGGGGACCTATGAGTGAGTCCAGTTTTTGTCTACCCTGTCTGTGGGGTTGCACGCTCGGGGGGTTTCTTTCTGGTCATAGGTCATTTACTCCAGCCGTCTTTGCCTCCTCTGAGCCTGAAGTACCTAGTGCGGAGGCAGTGTGGGTGTCACCCCCACGGAAATGGTTTATCAGGCATCGTAGATCTTGTGAGGGGGTTGTGTATATTATTATTATTATGATATTTATAGAGCGCCGTCAAATTCTGCAGTGCTTTACAATGGGTGGACGAACAGACATGTAGTTGTAACCAGACAAGTTGGACACACAGGAACAGAGGGGTTGAGGGATGTGCTGGTGCGGTCACCTGGGCCTGCGTTTAATACCGGATGTTAGGGAGAAGATTTGAAAGAGGGAATGAGTAGATATTCTCTCTCCTGTCATTTTAGGAGGCTATTCCCCTGGGGGACAAGGAGGATAATGACTCCAAAGGATATGGAGTAGTTTCACTACTGTTAGATTCCTGTTAGACTTTTGGGAATTGGGTCTGGGCATGCTCCATCCTGGCGAGTGTTATTGGGGTAAATGCTCCCCAAAAGTTCCCAGCTTTGTTCTGTTATCAGGACACCATATGGAATGCTTGTATTACCTATTGCAGTTTTGTCAAATGCTGTCGTGGGACCAGATAAACATAGGCCTCTGGCTCTTCATTATGACCCACCCTGCACCCCACCATGGTGGTTTCTCATCCTTTCTTAGAGGGGCCGACTCCTTATCATCGAACTCTCATCAGCAACTAGGCTGTTGTTGGAAGTTCAAAGACAGTGGGTAGGTTATGGTAGTGGTTATGGTTATCCAGTGCCCACTACATACATATACGGTAGGATGTATTTCATCTAGTGGAAAATAACTTAATATGAAATCTACAATTAGACCCTTTGGGTCAAGTGTGTCCAATTGCTAGATCCGCACAAAACTTATCCAAATATTACAGCAAGGCCCATTCCCAAGATTCAATTGGACTCAAGTTCTG